CGTGTATTATGTCACGTAAGACTCATGTGTCTACTTGTTCAACTTTATACAAGTTTAAGTGCATCTACTTATGCACACCCAAAATTAGAAGGCATATATGTGAAATGAGATCAAATTAAAAAGCACATTTATATATTATGTCCAATTAATACTCCCTCCGTCCACAATTGTTTGGCAGGTATACTAAAAATAGATGTCCAAGATTAATTGTCAATTTAAACAATCAAGAAATAATTAGTCAATTTTTTCCAATTCTGCCCTTAATGATAGTGTAGTTCAATTGAAAAGTTATGTGAACTTTTGGTATTCTTGGTATAGTAGGGTTATATTAGTCAAATTACACCTTATATTAAATTTTCCTTGAGGGATGTGCATGAGCTTACCCTGACAAACAATTGTGGACGGAGGGAGTATTTCACTGCAATCCTGGTCGGTACAATATATACTTTCTTGAATATGATGATCCACTAATTCACTTTATCAACTGAAAGTTTGCTGCTATTTAGCTTGTTTCATTTCATTCTGGGCCATAATTAGTGACACTTCATCAAAATTTTGTTGATGCTTTACATTGGAAAAATGATACTCTCTACAGTGTTTTCTCTTTCTTTTACTTGTTTGCAGCTGAACATAACACTGTGCACAGTATGGTATGGTGGATCAATCAAAATCCTTCTGTTCAGTGTTGTGACAAAAAACTAGTGGCCTATTTAGTATATTTATGTGCGTTTTGGTGAGGAGTAAAATGTCTTTCTTCGGATCTAAAATATAGAAAGTGACATTCTTTTTTAGTTAGATTAATAAAAAAATGTTTTAAATTTTTTTTGTCTATGATTAGGAGTTATAATAATACTCATTGAATTTTTATACGGTATTACATACTTGCATTGGAATCCTAACTAAATAATCCAGATTTTTGCCGTATAAAGCCCATTTTAGAAGAAAGTATTGCATAACAAAATATTTTCTATACTCAGACTCTAACCCGAAATCTTTGATCAAGAGCCAAGGATAAAAGGGTAATGACCTGCAGCATGCATATGATGAATCACCAACAAATGTCATTACTTGACCATTTTGGTTGGATACATAAATCTCGAATGTTTTACCCAAATCCCTAGAGGCGAATTCAGAATTTTAAATCAAACGAATTAAAACTTTTCAACATTGAACGAATCTATTGTTGAAAGGGTACATCTGCCTTTGTATAAATCAACCTCGTTACCCACTCACCAATAGTGCCAAACATCCGGTCCAACTTTTGGTGGAAATTAAAATTGTGTCGTTGCATTGATAAATATAATGTCAATATTAATACTAGCTACATTTTGACCAAAAAGTAGAAAACAAACTATATATATATTATGATGTTACCAACAGCAGTGATAGTTATCATTGAAGAAATTATTTCTTGAATATGATGGATGATCCACCACTTCACTTTATTTGGTTCTGTACAATTTCTTATGTATGAATGATCAAATAATTGGCTAGCTAAAGCTGCTCCAATATTGATAAGTTATTTCATCTTAGAACAGATGATTACTTTTTTCTTTCTTTTTATTGTTTGTATGTATGCGGCTGACACAACAGTGTTGGTGTTGGATATATTTGTTGTCTCTAATTCAATTTAGGACTCACTTATAAACTCTCCATGCACTACTCAATATAGTGTACATTGACCTATTAGGAGATGACATATGGCAATCCGAGTCTAATCAAATCCACCTCAGCAGAGACGGTTTAAAGCAAGATAAAGTGCACTTAAAAATTGTTGTGGCGCGGATGACTCACCGTACGAACTTTGTTTTCAACACCATTTCAGTGTCATACTCGCGCTTTTGACTTAATCAGAATTCACAATATAGGACTTAAAAGAGTTTTTGTTAGGGGAGAATTATTAAACGTTCTTGTTTAGTTTAAACCTTGGGGAGAAAAAACACATAACAATGAACTTAATACATTACAACGAAATTAAACGTCTCGTACTAAACCTTAGTACATATATACTAGCTAGGAAAAAGTAGTACATATATATTTAAGATGATAGAGTTGTGGCAAAAAAAATATTCAAGGCTGATTACGAGCCTTCTCCTTCTCTTTGACTTCACTTCCTTGTTTAGTTTCATACTCTATATGAAAATCAATAAAATTAAAATCAGCAAATTATATATGAACACTTTAAAAGAGAGTAAACTATGTATTTAATAAAATAATACCAGGGGCTTTGCCATGTTTAATATTTTCTTCATCCTCTTTGTTTCCACCATAAATCCCTCCAAAACCTTCTTCATCTGATCTTGTTGCATATGCTTCTCCATAGCTACTTGACATCGTATCCCTTCAATCCAATTATAAAATACATACATATTATTATTATCACTACTCAACAAAATTATTTTAGAATTAGAACCAAATTAGTTGAATAGCTTAATTATCGCTAAATAGATATTTATTTTTAGTGACGATTAAAATTCTTTGTAAATGTCCCTTAAACCTATACTAATATTGAATCTAATCAGAGACAAACCCAAAATTTAAAGATTTTGGATGCACCAATATTACCTTAGCTCAATTATAAGCTTTAAGATAAAAGGTAAAAATAAAAATAAACACTCTAACTGAATTCGAACCCAGGTATACCCAAGTCTTGCTGGTAAGATCCTCTAGCTTGTAACAATAAGTTGATGATACTCTTTCATGAGTTACTGTTAATTATACATAATTTTTTATTTTCTTTTTAAAGTTAATGGGTGCAAGTGCACCATCACCACCTACACCACCTAGACGAGGTGAGTGGAGTGCCGCTGAATCTAATGACAATTAACTAACGTACAGGTGGAAAAATAGAAAAAGGAAACT